CTGTCCACAGCGTGACCTTGGTGACAGGAGCCCCGAGGGGACACAGCTGTGACCTTGGGGACCAGAGCCTCATGGCTGGGGGGGGTCCTCACCGGGGTCCCTGGGGACACAGGGGTTCTCTGGAGCCCAGTTCGGGCGTGTGTGGCAGAGACGTGTGCATGTACACATGTGTACGTGTGTGTGCATGTGTGTGCACACATGTGTGTGTGTGTTTACACCCGTGTCTGTGCACATGGCCTCAGGCCAGGGGCTGCCGCAGGGCGTGGGCAGTGTGGGGTGGGTGCCAGCCCCCAGTGCCTCAGCTCCTCTGTGTCCCCCCTCAACGTGCTGGGGTCCCTCTCCCCCGCTGAGGGGGCTGTGGTGGCACTCAGCAGGTGACACTGGTGCTGGGGGGCACGGGGTGGCAGTGCCACCCTGCTGCTGTCCCCTCTCCTGAAGCTCCGTCTCTCCGGCAGGACGATGGTGAACGCAGCCTTCACGGAGATCCGGGAGGCAGCCTTTGCCCACATCCCTTCCCTGCAGTTCCTGTACGTCCCCTGCTCCCACAGCCGGGCATCCCGGTGCCCCTGGTGCCCACCGAGAGCTGACACGTCCCCCCTCTCTCTTTGCAGCCTCCTCAACTCCAACAAGTTCTCGCTGATCGGGGACAACGCCTTCGCCGGGCTCTCGCACCTGCAGTACCTGTGTGTGGGGCAGGGATGGGGACACGGGGACAGGGACAGCCCCGGGGAGGGCACAGGGAGGGCTGGGGGATCCTTGGGGCGGCCGTGCCACTGTCTCCTCCCGTCACAGGTTCATTGAGAACAACGACATCCAGGCGCTCTCCAAGGGCACTTTCCGCGGGCTCAAGTCCCTGACACACCTGTGAGCATGTGGGGGTCCCGCGGGGGACATGGTGGGGGTGGCTTTGCCAGAGATGTGTCCCCACGACCCTTCTTGTCTCGCAGGTCCTTGGCTAACAACAACCTGCAGACACTGCCCCGGGACCTCTTCAAGCCACTGGACATCCTGAGTGACCTGTGAGGCTGCCATGGCACCGGGGACCCCCGGGACACCGGGCTGGGGAGAGGGTGACATCCCGGGGCTTGGGAGGAGGACCCTGTGTGCTGGAGCCTGGCAGGGATCCCTGTGACACCGGGCTGGGGAGAGGGTGACATCCCAGGGCTTGGGAGGAGGACCCTGTGTGCTGGGGCCTGGCAGGGATCCCTGGGACACCGGACTGGAGAGAGGGTGACATGCCGGTGGGTGCTGGGGGTGACTCGGTGCCATCCTTGGCAGGGACCTCCGTGGCAACACTCTGGTCTGCGACTGCAAGATCAAGTGGCTGGTGGAGTGGCTGGAGAGAACCAACACCACAGTCCCTGCCATCTTCTGCAGCAGCCCCGGGCAGTTCGAGGGGCAGCGGATCCGGGACCTGGCTCTCAGTGACTTCCAGTGCATCACCACAGGCAAGGGATCACTGTCACCTGTCACCCCACTCCTGGGTGCCCGGACCCTCACTGCCACCTCTCCCCTCCCCAGATTTCGTGATGCACCAGGTCCTGCCCTTCCAGGCGGTGTCAGCCGAGCCCTTCACCTATGACAGCGACCTGTACGTGGCCCTGGCGCAGCCCAGTGCCAGCAGCTGCTCCATCCTCAAGTGGGACTACGTGGAGCGCAAGCTCCGCGACTTCGACCGCATCCCCGGTGAGGCAGCGGGCGGGGGGGGCTGATGGGACCCTCATTTGGGGTGACCCAGGGAGGGCAGAGCCCTGACGTGCCGCGGTCCCGCCGGCAGCTCACTCGGCGGTGCACTGCAAGCCCATCGTGGCGCAGGACCAGCTCTACGTGGTGGTGGCCCAGCTCTTCGGCGGCTCCTACATCTACCGCTGGGACACGGCCGTGGACAAGTTCATCAAGATCCAGGACATCGACAGCCAGAAGGTCCGCAAGCCCAACGACATCGAGGCCTTCCAGATCGAGGGGGAGTGGTACTTCGTCATCGCTGACAGCTCCAAGGCGGGCTCCACCAGCCTCTACCGCCTCAACCAGAACGGCTTCTACTCCCAGCAAGCGCTGCACGCCTGGCACCGCGACACCGACGTGGAGTACGTGGAGAACGACGGCAAACCCCGGCTGATCATCTCCAGCAGCTCCCAGGCGCCCGTGATCTACCAGTGGAGCCGGGCGCAGAAGCAGTTCGTGGCGCAGGGGGAGGTGGGGGAGATGCTGGACGTGCAGATGGTGAAGCACTTCAGGTCCAAGCGGGACCAGTTCCTCTGCCTCAGCCGCTACATCGGCGACTCCAAGGTGGTGCGCTGGGAAGGGCAGCGCTTCGTGGAGGTGCAGACGCTGCCGTCCCGCGGCTCCATGGTGATGCAGCCCTTCGCCGTGGGGCAGTGGCAGTACCTGGCGCTGGGCAGCGACTTCTCCTTCACCCACGTGTACCTGTGGGAGGAGGAGAAGCAGAAGTTCGCCAAGTTCCAGGAGCTGTCGGTGCAGGCGCCGCGGGCGTTCCGCTACGTGCCGGCCTCCGACGTCGAGCTCCTGCTGGCCCCCAGCTTCAAGGCCAACACGCTGGTGTACCGGCACGAGGTGGTGAACCTCAGCCTCTAGCCCGGGGTGGGAGCCCCCCCAGAGGGACGCCGCGTCCTGCCCGAGGACATGCATGTGCCCGCCGTGCCCTGACCCACGGTCACAACCCACTCCCAGCCCCAATCCCGGCCCCCCCCCCCAGTGTCACCCACCCCCAGGGCAGCTCCCAGACCCACAGTGCCTCAGTTTCCCACCCCCTCCCCCGGTGCTCCTGGTTTCTCCATGTGCAGCCATCCCGTGGGATGCAGGGAAGGAGGGTGGGTGGGACAGCCCTCACACCCCCGGGGGGCTAAGGGGGCTGAGGGGTCTCTGCCCGCTCAGGTGATGGGCTGGGGGGGGGGGGGCGGAGAGTGGGGGGATTTGTACGAGAAGGGTGGGGGGCTCCCGGGAATTTGGGGTGTTCCCAGGCTGAGGAGGTGCTCCGGAGTGGATGGGATGGCTGAGGTGCATGGGGCGGGATCGGGATGCCATGGGGACAACGGGATGCTCCGAGGTGGATGAAGGTGGGATGCCGAGGATGACAGGGTGTTCTGAGGCCAGGAGGATGCTCCGAGGTGGATGCCAGGCAATGGGATGGGATGCTCTGAGGACAATAGGATGGGATGCCCTAGGACACTGAGATGCTCCAAGGATGATGAGATGCTCCAAGCTGGATGCAGATGGGATGCCCTGAGGACAATGGGATGCCCTGAGGACAATGGGATGCCCTGAGGACAATGGGATGCTGGAGGCCAGCAGGATGCTGTGAGGTGGATGCAGGATGGGATGCCCCGAGGCAGCAGTAGGGCTGCCTCCCATCCCCCTCTGTGCACATCCAGCAGCTCCCTGTGCCCATGGCCCCTCTGCCAGGCGGGTACCCAAGGTGTCTGTGCCCACCAAAACACCCCCCAATAAACACACTGTGACCCCCAGCCCTGCCTGTGTCTGCCAACAGCTTCCATGTGTCCTCCCAGACACTCCTGCTCCTTCCAGTCTTGCCCCACCCAGCATCCCACAGCTCCAGGAAGGGTGAATCCCTCATTTTAGGGTGCTCCAGGCCCCTCACGTGGCTTTCCTGGTGGTTTTTTCCAGCAGAAACCTTGGCCCGCGGTGGGGGTGGGAAGCAGGAGGTGTTTCCCCAGGGGAGGGGAGTCTCCACCCAACTGGTTTTCCAGGGGAGCTTTTCCCTGTCTCCCAGGGGTGTAAATTTGCATGTGAAAAGCCACCAATTAGGCTCACAAATAAAGATCCTCTCGAGCCAACGGGGCGCCCCCGGGGCACGGGTGGATTTGGGAAGCAGGATTGGATCTGGGTGGCTGCAGAGCCCGAACCTGGCGGCTCCCTGGGGCACTTCCACACTTCCCTGCCTCAGTTTCCCTACAGGGAAAGGGCGGATTTTAAAGCCCAGGGAGCGCTGCAGGGGGGTTCTGGCACCTCGGCGGTGTCCCTGACCGGGATGGGGGATTTGGGAAGCCCTGGAACGCTCCGGGGGCTGCAGAGCCAAGGGGAAGGTGGCCCAGGGAGGAGATTCCAGCAGGTTCTGTTTTCCCTGGAGCGTCTCGCAGGGCTCTGCAGAGCCCTGGCCCTGGTTCAGCAGCACACCCGAGAGAAAGGAAAAAAGAAATCCTCGTCACCACTCAAAGGGGCTTTGTCCCCTTTCTCTACCTGCTTTGAGCATCACACCCCCTCCAAACCCCAAAAGAATTCCCAACAACACACAAAGGAGCTTTACCTCCCTCCTTCTCTACCTGTTTACTGCTTAAAAAACTTAATTTTCATAATTTAAAAAAAATACCTTTAATATTATTATGTTAATTAATATATTAATATTTAAAAGCGATATTTGGATATTTTTATATGAGGGAATGTTTAATACATATTTTATATAATATCTTGCATATTAATACGTTACGTTTACTATATTAGGAATAATATATTATTGTATACCAAAAAGAAATATATAATATATGAATTTCAAATATAATAGGAATACGTAATATTTTAATTAAATATATTTCAATAAATATAAAATATTTATATAAAATATCGATATATAAAATTTTTATATAAATTATTATTTTATATAAAATATTATTTATTAGTATAGAAATATAGAATTTCAACAATATTATATATGAATATAAAAATTATTTATAGATAAAATTATAATAAGTAAATTAAAAGTAAAGGTAATAAAAATTAAAAAATTTATATAAATAAAAAGTAATATACATATGAATTATTATACAAACTTAAAACATTATATATTAAAAATACGTTTTAACATGGATATATGGCATATCGTACATTAATATTTCACGTATTAGAGGAGTTTTTAAATAGAAAAATACGATCTATTAAAGCTCCGGGAACCACAGCGACATTTTTAGGAATCGCTGTTGCCCTTTTAAGACGCTTTGCCCTTTTCCGACGCGTTGCCCCTTTAAGAGCGGGAGGTGGGGCCCGCACGGCGGCTGCGCGGGTCGGTGCCTCCAACTTTCAACTTTTGGGATTCGTTTCCTCGGGAGGGGTTTTGGGGGGGGCTTTTGGGGGGCCCCCCAAGGCGGGCACAGCTCCCACCCTCCCTCCCGGCGCCGCCCGGGGCTCCGGCCCCGCCCGCACCATGATGTCCTGGATCCTCAGCCGGGTGATCGGGGGGGTGGGGGGGGGGGGGGGGGGGGTGTGATGGGGAGGGGTGCGGGGTACGGGATCCCCCGCTCCGCTGTCCCCCCGCCCGGTGTTCGGTTAACGGGAGGTCCCCGTGCCGGTCCCGCAGCGGGGACTTAACGGAGCGGCCCCAGGCGGGGTTTGGGGGGGGGCGGCCCCAAATCGCTTCTACGGGGGTAACCAGCCCCCTACCGCCACCCCCCACACCCCCCACCCCTGAAAATGCGTCCCTGAGCTGCTGTCGACCCTTCCTGCCCATCCGGGGGGGCGAGGAGCTCGGCCCGGGGTCCCCTTCCATAAACAATGGGGGGGGGGTCCCCTGTATTGCCCCGGAGGGGTCCCTGCATCGCCCCGGAGGAGGGGGGCGTGCTCAGAGGGTCCCTACATCGCCTGGGAGGGGGTTCTTGCTCAGAGGGGGTCTCCTACATTGCCTGGGAGGGGTCCCTGCATCAACTGGGAGGGTCCCTGCATCACCCAAAGGGGTCCCTGCATCACCCAAAGGGGTCCCTGCGGAGGGTCCTCACATCGCCTGGAGAGGGTCCCTGCTCGTAGGGTCTCCACATCACCCAGGAGGGTCCCTACATCAACTGAGGGGCCCCTGCATCACCGGGAGGGTCCCCCCTCCCCAGCCCCGTTCGCCCCCCTGTCTCCCACACCGTGGCCATCTGGGCTAGGTGCCCAGTGGCCCCCCGTGCCTGGCGAGCCCCCCGTGGGGCAGAAGGGAGCCGTGGGTGCCCCCAGCTCCCCCGCCCCAGGTACAGGAGGGTGTCGGGGTGCCCGGCTGTGCTCGGCACACGAGGTGGGTGTTTTGGGGGTGGCACCCCCGGGATGGGGGTTGGCACCGGCGGGGACTGAGCCCGTGCCCTGCCACCTCCTCCTGCCACCGCCCCGACAGGTCCAGCCAGTCCCCGTGGGCGTGGGAGTGACTCGGTGCTCATGGCCGGCTCCCCACGGCGGCTCCCGGGTGGCTCTGACCCTCTTCCCGACCCTCTTCCCTACCCCTTTCCCGACCCTTTTCCTGGCGGCTCCGGGGTGGGGGCGGTGCTGGGGGGTGTCAAAGCCCGGCTTTGGCTCTGGGGCCGCCGGCTCTGCTGGTCCCTGTTCCTGCTGCTCTACGCGGGCTGGCCGGGCTGCCTCACCCCCCCTCTGCGTTACAGGCTGGTTTTTGGGATGCTCTACCCGGCCTACGCGTCCTACAAGGCTGTGAAGGCCAAAAACATCCGGGAATACGTGAGTAGCCCCTTGCCCGGGCTCCAGCCCTACTTCCCAGGCTCCAGTCCTCACTGATGGGCTCCAACCCCTCCTTTCCCTGGGCCCTTCCTGATCTCAAGCCCCCCTCTTTCCCTGGGCTCCAGTCCCCCTTTCCCAGGCTCCAGCCCCCACTGACAGTTTCCAATCCCTCTTTCCCAATTTCCAATCCCCCTTTCCCAGTCCCCAGTCCCCTTTCCCAGTCCCCAGTCCCCTTTCCCAGTCCCCAGTCCCCTTT